GCAGATGTGAAGTCATTCTCCAACATGGCCTCCAATGATCCCTGCTTCTTGGTATTCATGCCCTTGTGTAGTTCCCTGACACATTGAGTAAGAGTTGGTCTGTGCAATCAATAGAATACAGCAGAAGTGAGAGTATGCCACTTCTGAGACCAGGTCGTAAAAGGTATTCGGTTTTTGTCCCTGGTTCCTGGTACAGAGCTCCTAAGACCCTTGAGGGATAAAGTTGATTTGAGTGTCTTTTATTCCAATGAGGTGACTCTTGGCAGACCCTAGATAGCTTCAGGATGAGGGTTGGTCATCAGAAAGAAAAAGCCTTGATTAGAAGCTTAGAACTTTCAGTCCCACCCCCTAACCTCCAGGAGAGACGGGCTAGAGATTAAGTTAATCACCAAAGGCCAGTGATTTGATTAATCATGCTACATAATGAAACCTCCTTCATGGAACCGCTAAACAATGGGGTTCATGAAGCTCCCAGGTTGGTGAGCACATAGATAGGCTTCAATGGTGGTATACCTGGAGAGGGTATGCAAGTTATATACCCTGTCACCCGCTTCCAGACTATCTTCTATGCATCTCTTCCATTTGACTGTTCCTGAGTTATAGCCTTTATGATAAACCAGTAATAGTAAGTAAAGCATCTTCTGAGTTCTATAAGTCATTCTAGCAAAATACTGAACCTGATAGGGGATCATGGGAACCCCCACATTTGTAGTTGGATGGGCAGAAATATGGGTGGCCCAGAATCTGAAGTGGGGGCAGTCTTGGGGGACAGGGCCCTTAAACTATGGAGTCTGCACTAACTCCAAGAGTTGGTGTCAGAATTGAATTGAATTTTTGGATATCCAGCTTTTGTCAGAGGATTGGATAGTGTGAGAAAAAACTCTCTCAGGCTTCTTGCTTTCTCTCTTTTTCTCTCTCTCAGATCACTCTGAGAGAAGTCAGCTGCAATGACTTGAGGATACTCAAGTAGTCTACGGAGAGTCCCAGTGGTGAGGAACTAAGGCCTCCTGCCAACAACCATCTTAATAAGCGATTAGGAAGTGACTGCAGGATTGACACCTTGATTGTAGCCTTGTGAGACCTTGAACTAAGCCCTTCTAGATTCCTGACCTTCAGAAAGTATGTGAGATAATATGTGCTGCCAGGTTTCAGGGTAATTTGTTATACAGCAATAGATAACTATTACAGTACATGATTCCTTATATCTAATCCACTGTAAAGTCCCTGTCATAAAATCCACAAGAGTGGGTCCTAGAGTTTGAAAAAAAAGGAATCCAACAAATTACCCTGATTTTCCAAAACAAACACACATTCTAAGTTTAATATATATGGTTTGTTAATAGAAATCCTGACTATTCAAAATAGTTAATTCAACATCACCAAGTTTCAAATTTTAGTAGCTCTTTTGGACTATTTTCTTCCATTGTCTTCATTGAAATTATTAGCATATCCTTGTTTAGTCATTTTGAAGGAGCAGTGGAAAGGGCACCCACCTCTACTCCTAGGACGTTCAGTAGCTCAAGACGTTCTAGGCTCTATTTTTTCCTCAAGGCTTTATTTTAATCTGACCAGATGGGTTCTAGACTCTTTTTGGAAATTACATTCCTTATTAACAATTTTACGTTGAGCATTTCTTTGTGTAAGTTCCATAGACTCAGATGTGCTAGATTTGTCCCATTTCTTTATTTTTAAAAAATCAAGTTAATTTGATTCCTGATTTCTATTTTACCAGACAGATAAGAAATCTAATCTCAGTTATTATTGAGGCTTCCTCCTCTCCACCTCCCGGCATCTGGCCATGGGCTTAGTCATCGCCAAGCATCATGGAGGTCCTCTGGCTTTCGGGTCCTACCCTGGGCCTTTATGTGCTTATTGTCTGATATTGCAGCCTGTTTTCCTTGGGCCCAAGCTAGGCCGTATTCTTGCAGTGTTGGGAGGAAAACTAAGAAAGAACAAACACTGGACAATACCTCAACAAATCATCCTATGGCAGAGAGTCGGAGAATGAATTAAATGTTAGGAAAAACAGAAAAGAAGTAAGCAAGATGGCACCAGCCTTTGGGTTTCTTAAACACTCAACAGGAAACAGGAAGTACAGAAATAATAAACCAAGAAATAAAAGTAAGGCAGCTTAAGAAGTACCATTTAAATTGCAAGGGCTGGGGAAACTGACAGAAATAAATGACCAGAGTGGAGTAGGCTTAATAAGAATAAATATATGTATATGTAATCCCTCACATTTGTATGGAGTTTTATATATTATGAAGGACTTCTTCCACATTGTAATTTCATTTGAGACACTCATTAATATGAAGTTGGCAGGACAGATGTTAACAACTTCATTTTACAGATGGGCAAAGTGGGACTCAGCCAGCTTTGGTGACTTGTCCAGTATCACAGAGCTGGTTAGTAGTGGAATATGAAAGTGAGCCCAGCCCTCCTTCTACCTAGTGCTTTCTCTGCCCTTCCTGTACATCTGCGGTGAATTGGTTCCCTAGAGGTAAGTCTAGAGCAGGATTGGAAGTATCTAGATGGACAAAGAGAAGAGGCATCCAAGAATGACAAGGAGTGTAGGTGGCTGTGGAAGAGCATGAAAATACATGAGAAAGAAATGACCAAGACAAGTGGAAGTTTCCTGATATAGAACAGAAAAACCAGGGTGTGGAATACCGAAAGAATGCTGAGTGGTGACCAAGGGAGCCATTGATGTTAGATATCAAATTCTCCCCTCCTGCCCCCTGAGTAAGAAGTTTATCACCTACATCTCTTTACACATGAATAACCATAAAGAAAACACCAGTATCTTCACGAAATACATCATCCAATGCAGGAATACACAATCTCTGTTGGCCGTTTCTAAATCTTAGTCACAGCGAGTAACAGCATTCTCATTTCTTTTTCTCTGAGTCCTGTATCCAAGGCTTATATTCTGGTCTGGACCATACAGGCAGGTGAAGTCTTTGAGGAGTACATTACGTCCACTTGCCATTATGCCTCTGTAATTCTTAGTGATATTTCTTATTGCCAACCAGACTGACCACACATAAACCAGTGCAAGAGCTTCCAGGGAGGTGTTACTCCAGCCAACTTCCTCCGTAGAGTACAAAGACAGGGATGGAGTTCAGGAAATGGGGTGTCATATCTCTAAGTGGAACAAGAGAAAAGGTCTCTGAAGGAACAATGGGATCTAGGGCCCATTTAGGATGACATGCCAGATGGGTACAGTAGACTCTCATGTGTTGTGATGCTGTGTTAACCTTTCCATAAAGCTCTTGTGTGGCCTGAAGCTTTGCTGTTGAGCATCTATACTGATTTCTGTGCTTAGAAATAAGAAATTTATTAGGAAATTTAAAAAAAAACAAAACAAAACCTCTGCAAGTATTCAATCCCTCCCCTCTACTCCTGTCTCTCAACATTGTTATCTTTTTTTATAAGCAACAGTATTTTGGCAAATGAAAATTCTCAAAATGCTCGACCACACCTTATCCCAAAGCCTGGACTTAGTTTGAAAGCTTTATGGCTCTGACTCAGTACAGCTGGTTATCCTCTTTAACTGGATTGATGGTGACAATTGTAATTACCTCAGATGAGATTGCCTGTAATGCAATTATGCTTCCTTCATCAGCCTGAGCTGGACTTGCGGAATCCATGCAGAAGATGCCTTCAATTACTGAGAGGTTAAGGACAGCATCATATCGCCTCACAAATCGTGTTTGTTACTATATAGGATTTTAAAAATTGTGTAGGAAGCTGAAGGAATTATTCCTCTAAAATGGCTTTTCTGATCCAGATCCGTTCCTGTATAGAGCTATCCTATATAGTGAGATGACTACATTCCAGAGCTATATTTTTATTTAAATAAACATATTTTAAGGACTCAACATAGAGTACCAACAGTAAATCTATATTTTTCTCACTGCTTTGTTACTACCTATTGATTATAAACAGCAACTGCATCTAGAAGACATTTTTTAAAAGTTTATAAAATGTAGTAAAGTTTAACTTGATTTTTATATGATTTGAAAACTTACATTTTCTAAAAGTAACATAATAAATAACAAGAGATAATTTCAAAATACTGGTTTTTATGGTAGATGGAGCCATAATTAATACCTAAGGAGCCAGCTGCTCTCCTACAATGAAGTCTCTCCCTATTTTCCAATTAACACATGGAAAACTTTAGAATTTTTCAATTGGAAGCCCAGCTTCGAAACAGGACGAGTCTGCCAAACGCACTGCAAACACATGTAGTTTAGGAGAAATGGCACACGCTGGAAACCCACCCCAACCTTATTAGCTTTAGCATTGCTCTCATTAAAAATAGAGCTGCTTATGGGTTTTTCCTTCCGAAGCATATGAAACATAGAACTTGGAAATGTGCCCTTTGAAAACTTATTCCTGTATTCACAAACCAGATGGTGCACATCAAATGCCTCCTGATTTTCTAATGAAATAAAAAAAGGGTTCCTATTGTGTTCTTTCATAAGATGAACACATCCTCAATTGCTAGTTTTGACAGATACTCTTGGAAAGTTAAACAATTTGGCTAACGTTGTCCTGCTGGAGCTGCACAGGAAGGCCGCCCCCGAGCTGAAGAGCTGGAGCCCTGCTGAGAGGTGCTCTGCTTTTTAATTCTTCCAAAGTAGGCTTTAGTAGAGGTGCAAGCCCTGCCACAGCTGCTCACCAAGAAACCTTCTGTCTTTGAACATCAGAGATGAAGAGTCTGCTGTCTCATAAAAGGGCTAATCACACAGGAAAAGAGAGTCAGTCTCTCTCTTTCTCTCCCTTTCTGTGGTCCGCTGCTTAGTCAAGCCATCAAGCGGTGTTTGTAGCTGGCTCTCATCACTAACACTGCCAATAAAACCTAACTCTGGGCGCCATCTGAATGTCACACTCACCACTTTGAGATACCATACAGTACAAATGTATCCAAAGGCAAGAAAATTATGCCGGATTTTTCTAACAAATTAGAGAAGAATATAAAATATAATGTTGTTTACCTTGAAGAAGGTTGGTCCGTGTGGTCAAAAACCTGAAAAAAAAAAGAGAAATGGATTAATTTTCTATTACTTCTGACCTTTGCCATCATGATAATGCATTAAACATAGCTGTGGTGTGTCTATTAATTTAGTAAATCCACTTGTTATTTTCTAATTAGATGTATCTCTTGCTTGAAGTAATAGAATGGTTTAAGCCAAACCGGATTCTAACCTGAATCCAATTTCTCTCTTTAATTCCACTATTAATCAGGAATCTGTTGAGCTGAGGAAAAGCAGCCACCAATAGACTTGGGGAAAAGACGGTGGCAGGCTAGACACTGAAGTTGTGAAACATTATCTTTTTTTTAACTTTCAACAACTTGAAGGTCCCTGTCTGCTGTCTTATTTTGTCTCCCTCCACAGAGGAGAAAAAATTTTCTTTGTGCTGAGACATCCTGTTTCACGAAATACAACATCGTATCTCATTTTTCTTCATGAACCACTCTAATTTAACAGTTGGGCTGGAAGAGCACACATTACCAACAGATTCAGTCATATAACACCCAAAATCTGGAAATAATAGCTTCACATACTACAAAATAAATCAGTTACTCCATCAATTCTGTAAGCCGAAGAGTCTGAAAATCGAAGGAAGGTATTTCGAACAGTGCTGTGCAAAAGAGATTGCTGAGTTGCGTGTTCAGTTAAGCCCAATGCCATCTCTTGTTCCCAGTTTGCTTTGCAGAAGCATTTAGTTTACATTTTAAATATGTGTATCTTTCGACTTGGGTCAGAAAGACTTAATTATACATAACACCACTACCACCAATAACGCTATGGTTGATCAATACTCCAGGATTTGAAAAAATTTTCCCCAAATGTCACACAATTCCCTGGGACCTAGGGGCTTTTCCTCTCCTTAAGGTGTAAGACCGCTTCTCCTTTTGGTGTTTTGCCCTTAAAAAAAAGGTATTTAGTACACAGCTACCAAATCCATCTAAAAGGTTAGCTTTCTTTTTATTTTAGTGCTCTTTCTTAATGGGCAAAAATGATTGATTAGTTCACCTGAAACATTCTTAGCCTCAGGGCAGAAACAGTGCTTTGCACACAATAGTGGACTGGATTTAGAAAAGAAAAAGAAAATCTTTCAAGAATGCAGTGAAGTTCAAAAGTGGAAGAAAACAGAAAAGCAAGGGCTGAAAGCACATTTAAATTCTTATGTTTATTTAAAATCCAATGATTGTGTTTTAAGTTGTATTGAATTATCATGTGTGTACTGGCTCTTTATCTTAACTGGAAATGTACTTACATCACAAAGTCTAAATTCATCTGGATAGTTTATACAGTGAACATCGGAATCGTCTTAGTTTCCCCAAACTCCATATACATTTTGAGAAAAAAATTAAGGTGATTTTTTTCCCTAATAAATCTGCGACCTCTATTACTTCCTCCTCCCCTCCCACCATTGACTTTGAAGCTGCTTTCAGGAAGAGGCGTCTCTAAGTGGCAAGTTTGTTGACCTGTCAGAAAAGGCAAGGGGTGAAAGAGAGAAGCAGCAAATTCCTTGCCACTGGCTAGAATGAAGTGAGAGGAACTACATAAACCCTGGTAATATTAATCCTCTTTTACTCTGATCTTATCTCTGACCCTCTTCTACTGTTTATGTTTTGGGCATCCTGAAGCACCATGCTCCCAGCACAGTAATTTATGTCTTAGGAGAAGTGGGTTTTAAATTTAAGTGTGCATCAGAATCCCTGTGGGAGCTTATGAGAAATGCAGATTCCTGAGCTCCAGCCCAGCTTCCCTAAATCTGAATCTCTAAAGGGTTAGCACCCAGGAATGTTCATTTTCAATAAGTTTTCCAGGCCACTATGATTAGGTGGTCATTCTGAGAAACACAGGCTTAGGAAGATATGTAAAGTGATCTCCGGCTATGCCAAGTGCCAAATGACAGGCCTTGAGTGGACAGGTGTTTTAAATTGATATCCCATCTTAGAGTACATATTCAGTAAATATTTGTTTAAAAAAATAATATTTAATATATAAGTCCAACTTGTTCATTATTTGCAAATGTTTTTCATTCTCCTTTATGATTTCCAAACAGACGTCTGACCTGCCTTAAGCATTGTTCCACTCAGTAATCTATGAATCACTGAAAAGTTATAAAGTTTAGGTAATACAGACTCTGATTAATGTGCCTCTAATTTATTGTTTATTTCCAGGTAAGTCATAGAATCCTTAAATTTATAACTGGAAGGACTTCAGAAAAATTTTAGTCCAATCCTTTCATCTCTTTTCAGGTGAAGAGAGATTAACTTTAGGATTATTTTATAAATGGGGGTGATCTGAAAGATCAATGCAAAATTTTAGCAGTGATCTTGAATAATTCCCAGGTGTCTGCTTAATTTTTACCCCTTCTCAGTTCAGATGGAAATATCCATAAAAAGAACTATGTAAGTAAATATAATTAATCATAATCAATCATGTACTGTCTTGTATTTGCCTAGAACCAAAATACTAAAGTGGACACATGGCATCCTGCTGGTTCTAATTTTCTACTAATTCATGAAACACTTCGTGCTTTGCTTGTGACAGCACAAATCTCTCAACTTCCTATTATAATTAATGTTATGAAAAGCATTGATGCGCCCAAATACGTGCCATAAAGTCCTTGAGTGTGGGATGGCCGTTTCCAATACACATAGAGTTTGCGTAAATGTCAATAAACATATTATTATCATTTTCCTTCTATCAGCCTCAGGACTTCACTTTCTTCAATTATAAATGTTGGGTTTGGACTAGATGATATCAAAGAACCTAACACAATGATACAATTAGGCGAAAACGGAAGGACTGGTATAAAGATGCCAACTTTTAATTTAAAACATATAAAAATATCTGAGAAATGATCGTCTCTCCCATCATTTTGCTGAGAAGGAAAATGTGAACACTAAAAGCATCGGAAGCACATAATTTCAAAATAAAGACAGAATTTCAAAATAAAGTTATTTTTTTGAAAAAAACCCCAGCAAAATACTCCACTGACCTTATGTTTTCCATATTGCTGTGGATTCATAACTTAGTCACGGACCAGCACCCGTCTATGAATTACTCTGTGGGAACCACTGCTGTAAAAGTTCTTCCCCAAAGAACCAAAGGCAGCATTTCCCCGTGTGTATCTGACATAACACTCATGCCCCGAGATGCTTCTAAATACAGGATTTCCAAGTTTTAGAGCAAACGGGTGTGGTGGTGGTGGGTGCTTCAAAGGATAATCCCCTTTCAGAGATTCTTGGTGAATGATATACAGATTCAGAGTTCTTTTGAAATAAGGCAAAATGTTAACTTTATTTCACCTATCATTTTAAAAAGTTACTTACCCCAGGAAACATGTTTTGCACACAGTACTTGTTAATATTCTGCAAAACTAGTGTTCTGCATAGCACACTCTCAGAAAGTGCTCCATGATTTTCCCTAAATCAGCTCCACATCGTGACCCACACTCATAGTTCACAGGCTCACTGTTCTCCCTCCTTGCAGTGTTAACTCTGGAGGAATCTTTGACCTCCATTCAGGAAATATTAGTTGAGCGAATTGGAAGAGAGCCTAACACTGCAGGTGGCAGGCTATAAGGCCAGCCTAGAATAAAGCCCTGGGGCGGAGGCCGGGTCCCCACGAGGGAGATGGTATCCTCCCACCCCCAGCACAGCAAGCCATGTCTTCCAGGTCTTCTCTCTTCCTGAGAATTTTCGAAGGTTCGGCTGTGTGTCAGGAGACCAAAATGACAGTGGCTTAAACAAGGTAACTTTTGTTTTTCTCTCCTGTACACAGTTAATTACATAGTCTGGAGCATCAGTTCCCAAAGTGTGGCCCCAGGCGAGGAGCATCAGCATCACCCTGGAACTTGTTAGAAATGCAAATTCTTGAGACTCTCCCCACCCCTACTGAATCAGAGGCTCCCCAAGCCCTCCAGGTGATTCTGATGCTAAACTCTCAGAACCATGGTTCCCAGGTAGCTGGTCCAGGGCTGGAATAGGGATTCTGTTCCAAGGAGTCATCCAGGAATGCAGGCTCCTGCTCTCTTGATGCTTCACTCCCTGCCCCTTGGATGTTTCCCTTGTACTCATGTTCCCAAATGACTTGCTACCACACGTGTTCAGTCACAACTCCTGTGCTCTCTTCCTAAGGAAACTTTCCCAAAGCTGGCTCCGCCTCTGAGTTCTCCAGCCACAGGCCTCATGCAGGCTCTCATCAACTCCACCTGCACTGCTGCAACCGTCTCCCAAACGCTCCTCTCCTGCCCACTGATCCTCCCCAAGCTAGTCCATCCCCACCCAACGAACAGAGGCATCTTTTCTTTTAAATGTGATTTTCATCTCTTTCTTACTAACCGTCATCTGATTCCCCAGTGGCAAAGCGCAGACTACAATGAAGGTCACAGAGTCGTTCAATATCCGGCACCTATCTTTCTTCTCAATTATCCCTCAGTCTTTCACCTGTACACCTTCTGAATCCCAGCTACAATAAACACTGTTTCCAGAACCTACCATACCGCTTCAGCCTCCAAGCCTTTGCACATGTTGTTCCCCTCACTTAGAAGGCCTGTGTTCAGAATCCTCTACAGGCACACACATACACACACACCCTGAGACACACCTCTTCCAATCATCTTTCTGATAAACACTTGCTCATCTTTCAAAATCTAATCTACATACCACTTCTGTGGGGCCTTTCTCAACTTCCCCACCCACGCTTGTTTACTCGCCCCCTTGTGGTCTCATTGTATGCATTCCTACCTATCCTAGAATACTCATCAAATTGTATTATAATTTTCTGTGTACAAGTCTGCCTCCTGTATTAGATGGGGAGCTTCTTGGAAGCAAGCACTGCTATTTATTCGATAAACATTAAATGCCTACTTTGTGCCAGGAAGTTCATATCCTGAAGTGTAAGGCTTAGCACAGTGTCAGTGTCTGCTGGGTACTCAATAATTGCTGATTTAAAGCATGAATGAATGAAGGTTTTCCGTAAATTCTCTCAAGGATGGAATGAC